CATGTTACTCCGTCGCAATTCTCTCAATGCGACGATAACGAATAGCTACCGTCGATTTTCTCCTATGATCTAATTCCACAGGCATTTGGTCGTGCATATTTTGAAAGTGGGCGCTCGAGGGGTAACTTGACTCGTGAACACCAGACTCGTCGCAAGAGCTCTGCTGGCTACGGGTCGTCTCGTGATGCAAAGGACCTCAAATCTGCAGGAGATCCGATCTACACAGGAGTCGCCACAGTGCTCTTTCTTGGTGTACTATTTGAATTTGCAGACTATCTGTCAAGTTATCTTCGGGAACTATGTGCGATTTGATCTGAAAATCAACTCGCCTTTCTCTATTTCGCTCAGTAAATCGCTTTTCACGCCATACTGCTCTGCGAAGCTCTTCAGCCTCTGGTTCAAGACCTGTGGCTCGACTGCTGAATCGCCGCATACACTCCGTGGCATGCCAGCGCCTTGATGCCGCCTAGCAGTGTTGCTGTCGGTATGAATGTCGATACGTATATCCGTGGAATCCTGAAGCACTCGGCAGGTTTCGTCCTTTCGCAGATGCGACTCAAACTCGGAAAGGAGATGGCCAACGCGCCGATCGAGGATAAGCCAACTATGTTATATGCTACCCTAGTCAAGCATTATTCTACCGACAAGATTTAATTGCCCGTCCTCCCTGGACTAGGCCGATGTCGATACACCGCGGCCGCGGCATGCTACGCACTCACTCGACTCGGACCCTTCGGAGCCTCAGACTCCCAAGATTTATATTGATCTGATTCCCGAATCCACCTCCATGATACACAATTGCTCTTTCCAATGAGCATTCAGCATTCAGTCTTGATTTGCCCCTTCGTGGTATACGCGTATATATTCGCAAGGTGATCTACGATGATCTGGCCGAAGCCGCAGACAAAGGACGAGAGAGCCGCGCGGCGCGGCGCGCGAGGCGCGTCGTCGGCGTATTTCCCACGGCGGGGGCGCGTGTCGCGCCAGTCCTCGCTGGCACTGGCCTCTCTCGTTCTCGCCCATAGCTATACGGGTACTTGCCAAGATCTTGTACGGCT